TCAGAGAATGTCCCTGGTGGCCAGTATTGCGGCGGAATGGCTCGAGGTGGCAGAGGCTGGGCCCGCGGTAGCGGTGTGTCGGCCCGAGAACTGGGACCGACTGACATAGTGGCCAGCCGCTTAGCAGTTAAGTTAGCTCTGATATTCGGTACCTGTACACTCGGAGGCCGGTTGGACGACCAAGTTGAAGATCTACCCGACCGAGATTCCGGTCGTGAGTATGGGTGTTACTGCGGTCGGAGTCGTCAGAGCGATCTGTGCGTCGGCGTCCTTCCATTGTTGAGTAAGGCGCTTTCACGAGATGAATCACGCTCTGTTAGACTCCTACCTATCGGTTAGTTTACTTTACAGGTTAGCTAATTCTAAGCTACCATGCCAGACCAAGTTAAGCTACTTCTAAGCTACTGGTCATTTAAAGTTTTCGGTTAGTTAATTTATGTTAGTTAACGGTAGCAGCTCACGGTGACGATCGTGAGATTTTAAGGTTAGTTAGACTAATTCTAAGTCAACCATGTCAGAACGCATTCTATTTAACGTCATTCTGTCCAGCCTTATCAACCGTCTTGTCGTGTGCATCCGGTTGAACTGTACTGGACTTGTCCAATACGCCCGATGGGTGCGTATTGGATTTCTGCTTTTTGCTCTTTGGGATTTTCTCTGATTTCTCTCGACCCGTAGTTATGCGGGTGAGTATGTTTTTTTCCGCCTCATCACCAGCAACTACGTCCTCTTCCAGGACCTGCTGGGCCGTAAGGGTTGCCTTAGGCTTTTTTGGCAACGTTGGTCTCTTAGGCTTCTCCTTAGGCGCCGGGGCCACTTTCAGCTCTTCGGTCACCGCTGGCTTGTCCGTGGTGGATGTCCCTTTTTCAGGTTCCGCTGGGGCCAATGTTAGGTCGATGACGGTTAATGGCTGGCTTTGAAGCTTGGTCAACGCTGGTGTCTCGAAATCCGGTTCGGCCTTTCGAGGTCGACCTGGGCCACGCTTCACTGTTGTAGCTGGGTCCGATGTCTTTGGATCAGGTGGGCCATAGCCTGGGATTTGCAAAGTCTTTTGCTGCTCCGCCACGAGTTTCTTGGACGGGCCCTTTCCGGGCTTCTGCTTCTTCAGCAGCTTCTCCAGTTTGGTCTAGGGAGAAGCTGCCGGAAAAGCCGCATCTTTGCACTTTCCCGGCTTAGTCTTGTTACTGCACCTTCCCGACTCTGTACCTTCCGGTTCGGCGTCGCCGCCCTTCTTTTTGCTTGAGCGAGTTATTCTGCGACTCGGGCCGTCCGGGTTAAGGTATGGCTTTAGGCGTTCGACACATACATTATGTTCCACACTGGTGTCTTGCTCTCGGATCCAGTAAGTATGTTCGCCCGGTTTAGGCGCTGCTGCATCCTCTGGATGTAACGTTCGTTAGTTGTAAAGGTTTCTGGGACGTAGGTCCCAGCGAGGACGTCTTGTGGTATGGTCATTTCTCGTCCAAACAGCATGTGGTAGGGCGAGAATCCAGTGGTTGCGTGAACGGCACAGTTCCGGCCGGAGATCGCGTAAGGTAGGGCTCATTGCCAACGATGTTCGTCGCCGGCGCCGCCAAAGTTCCGAATTCCGTCCCAGATCGTTTGCATCCGGCCTTCGACATGGCCTTGGCCCTCTGGGTGATAAGCGGATCCGGGGTATCACGCACTAAATATCCCGCTTTTTAACGTTAAATGCTATCCGGCTTTGTGCTTGTGACTGGTGGAAGTACCGTAAAAGTGACACCTCCTATATACAGGTACCACCAAAAAATAATTTTCTCTGAGTCGTTACTGGTCGAAGCTATGGCTTCGCTAAGGGTATCACGCACTAAATATCCCGCTTTTTTACGTTTTTTGCTTTTTTACGTCTGCTCGATGCCAAAGATCTTCGCCACTTTAGCGAAAAATTTTGCCATAAAATGCGTTCCCCGGTCGGAGTGCATTGTATGTGGAATGCCATACTTCAGTACGACCTCTTCGACAAAGAACTTCTCAAATTCCTTGGCCGAGTTTGTCTTGGTCGGCCTGGCTATGGTAAACTTCGTCATTCGGTCGACCACCACAGCAATGTACCGGTATTTCTTAGTTTGGGTCACCGGTTAAGGTCTTTTGAAGTTAGCAAAGACGCGGTACCAAGGCGCGATAGCTTCCGTCGGCACCAGCTTACCGTAGGTAGCTCGCCATCGTACTTTGCCAAAAATACACGTCTGAACATCGGTCGATGTAGTCGTGAATGTCGCAGGTCATACGGTCCCAGTAGTACCTGAGCTTGGCTGCTTCAACGGTCTTGCGGTATCCAAAATGATTCCCTGCTTTTCCGTCATGGAGGGACTGGATAATATTTTTCCGCATGAACAGAGGGACAACGAATCTCCTTTCGAGCTTCGCAGTGATTTCGGTGAGTCGATAGAGCACCCCCTTGTCCATCTGGTAATGTTCGGGTAATTTGGACCTTCTGTCCATTTCTGTCTGATGTTTCAACTCGTAAATTTTCTTGGCCAGAGTTGGATCACGGTGTTGCATTCGTCGCAGTTCTTGCGCGGTGCAGTCCGTGACTTTTTCTGGACACGGTGGGACTTCGGGCTCTTGCTCTCCCGGTGTGGGCGCCGGTACATCAATGACCCGTATGTCCGCCGTGCTGAACTCGTTCCAATCACTGATTGCGTTACAATCAGGAAGAAGAGGCTTGTCCCATTCGTGTGCGGGGTCCTCATCAGTTACTTGCAGCCTGTGCACCTTTATGATGCGTGCCGGAATTTCATCCTTGTAATCCTCGAAATTAGGGACTTGGTCCAACTCTTCGTGTGGGCCTTTGTCATCGTCCCGTTCGAGTGGCCATTTGTACAATGCGTCGGCATTGTCACAGAAGGTGCCTGGTTTGTACTCAATGGTGATGTCCTTTCCCAGTCGGGCGAGGGCCCATCGAGGAAGACGTGGGTTGATGCCGGGCCGGTTAGACTCGCATCTGAGCAGATTGGTTAGGGCAGTATGGTCCGTCCGAACAGTAAATGGTCCGTTGTCGAAATAGTGCTTAAACGTCTGGAGGGCCCATACTACGGCTAAGCATTCCCATTCTGTCACGCCGTAGTTTTTTTTCGGCTCCGTATAGGTTGCGACTCGCGTAGGCGATTGGCCTTGAGTCTTGGCTAAGTATGGCTCTGATGCCAGCGCCACTTGCATAACATTCGATGGTGGTCTGCTTGGTCGCATCGAATTTGGCCAATATAGGGGCTTCCGTTAGGGCCATTTTGATTTCGTTGAACTCAGCGGTGTGGGCGTCAGTCCAGTCGTTCTTGACCGAACTTCCCTTCCGCAAGAGTTCGTACATCTTGGAAGTCTTCTGGGCGTATCCCTGGATGAACTTCCGGTTATAGTTAGCGAGTCCAAGGAACGAGCGAAGTTGACGCCCGGTCTTGGGCGGTAGTTTCTCGGCTATGGCCGCAACCTTCTCGGGATCAGTATGGACACCGTCCTTGCTGAGGATGTGTCCAAGGAATTGGAGTTTTTCCATTCCAAATTATCGTGAACCCGTGATGCTGGGTTCACGATCGGTTTTATCGTGAACCCGGCATCACGGAGGCAGATAAGCGTATTTCTGAACGCCTTCCTGAATTCCACGAAAGTCTTGTCGAAAAAAAATGACGTCGTCGATGCATGCGAAGACGCCGCCTTTCTTCTTAGCCGGCGCCATGATCTTGTCCAATGGTCATTTGGAAAGTAGCTGACCCATTGCAGATACCAAACGGACTCCGTCGCGCTCCGGGTTCCAGTGAAACCCGTATGATCAGGAGATGGCGACTCTTCCAGGTCGCGGGAGCTGGCCTACTTTTAGACTTAGCGTGCTGGCCTACTTTTAGACAGCGCAGTTTGACCGAAAAGTGCCTTCACTGGGGGTTCAGAGATCCGTGCGAAGGAAAACCGATCGGGCTCCTACCATGTCAGAAGACAGAGAAGCAGAACAAGAGAATGGGGCAAATCTAGCCTTTATTGGAACAATAAAGCAACCACAAAACCAACAGAAAACCGGTACGGAATCACTGTGGAAAAAGTGAATTATCGTGATCATGAACGGCGTGCTGCAGCTGCGTAACAGCTGATGCTGGAATCGCTCGTAAGCGCTGGGCTTACGCCCCCACGAGTGCAGCAATGCGCTGATTGGTCAGCGCAGACAAAGTGTAGTCAGCGTATAACAGCGGCACGAGTGGGGTGGCCACCTGCGTGCGGGCGGCAGAGCAAGCCACAAGAGGTGTCTACCGCCTCGAGTGTGCGGTCTCTGCCAATACAAACACAACGAAACACACCAACAGTTTTACAAGAACTAAGCACTTCCGTGTACGATTCAATAATATGTGTTACATAATTATATTGAATTGTACACGGAAGTGCTTAGTTCATGTAAAATTAGATATACTGTAAGCAAGCAGCGCGCCCTCTTCGAGATTTAAGAATTATTTTTTATGATTCCGTATGGTGCAACTAGGTTCTGCAATTGCTACATTAGTTGAATTATTAAATTATTAGTAACAGTAGCGCGCGGAAGGTATTGTACACATGCGACACGCATGCGGTACGTCTGCATACGAAATAAAGAATATTTTTAATCGGTTAAAGTTGCCTGATAAAAGTTTGATTATAAAAATATAATAATAAATATCTGTTTCGACGATTCGGCTGCACATAGACGAATAAAATTACAGTACAATTCCAAACAAATATTTAAACAGCGATAGGAATCAACGATTACCGTTACCGTATTGAAAATTGCTCATTTTCTACCGTCAGATTCCGTACGATGTACTTCTGCATACTGTAACCACTTTATTACAATAATAATTATTTGTTATTAGTTTAGAGCTAATATCTATATAACTGTTATCCATAATTATTTTGTAACTATGGGAACGATTTCGATTTTCTGCAGTGAATCTGCCGTGAAATTGTACGAAAAACGAACGGAGAACACGCTTTCGCGACAAAAAACCGACACCGCTTCAACGCCTCTCACACTTTATTCAACCCGTCATCGTGTCCGCAATTTCGCATCTTCATCGCGCGCCACAACACACCGCAACGACACAACCAACCGAGAAATCATCATAAATAATTATTATTCCAATACTGTCCAGTTAATTACTATTCAATAAAGAAAGAAAAAAATAATCAACATATTTCCCAATTATCACGGAAACCACTGCCACGATTCCCATAAACCGTTACGCAAATAAATCCGCCCCGCAAAAAAATCGCCCGCGAATCCAGGAATCATCGCCCAGATTAATACAACACAAGGAACACTTTAACGCCGCACTTCCTCAGACACAATCCGCGGACCACTTTCAAACGAGGAGGCAAATGATTAATCCTCAATACAAAAACACAAGAGCGGAGGAAACACAACACAAAACACAATCCACGCGTCCCTCATAATTATTCCGGGAAGATAATAAACGCAACTCTCCCCCCATCCGCCCACCACGGAAACACAAGAAGAGCTCCATTGATATCTTTCCGAAACCAGCGGATTCCCCAAGATTTTCTTGCTTACACAGCAAAAAAACAAACAAATCAGAAAGACGGACGGATTTCGCTCGCTCCACGCGGAGAAACATAATAAATGAATTAAATAATAATCCCGTTGAGTCTCTTTCCAACGCCGAGGCCAGGCGTGCTTTGGTGTGCACGAAAAGGAGATACAAAAAGAAAACAGCGCCATTCCGGACCGGTTGCGACAACCGGTACAGAATCATCCCATACATCAGCGTCACGTAACGTTTTTGGCCCCAACAAGAGAAAAACACACACCGGAATCACAGCGCCGCTGCTGCTGATTAGACTGCGATCCCGGCGCAGCGCAATAAACAAATGAATCGGCGAAACCATAACACAACACAGAAAAATCCATCCATCCGTACAAAAAAACCTACGACAGAATTCCGGCGGTAATATACGATAGAACTTGAATCAAAAAATTATACACAAATAAAATATGTTAAATTCGTAAACAAATAAAATGCAGATGCACATTTAGAATTTGTTCAATGTTTTAACAACATCCATTGCTTCGAAACACAAAGAACGAGAATTCAAAAAGAATATCAACTGATATAGTAAAATTCGCATAATTATAACATATATGAGAGTCATTTCCGTATACACTGCTAAACCTTAAAAAAAAACCAATTAAAAAAGCCCCACAAACAACATAAAATTTGGAAAAAAACAACAGACTGGAAAACCTAAGCCCTGGATCAAGTTTTAAAATTGCTGCAAAAAAAGTTAATTTTAATGGATGGTTAAAATTCAAAGAAAAACCTGGAAATACTCCACAAAATTAATTGTGATTAAATTTATTTTCATCCCACTGTAAACTTTAATCCTCAATTATGGAAAACCAGAAACTTTACCGCATGGTACAAGATACCGCATGGTACACACTGTCACACCCTTCCGAAAGAAAACACTGATCGTTAATTCCAGCGCGAAGATAAATCAAAAATATAAACCGATACTCACGAATACACACATCCCCCACTCGTTCGCCACTGAGTCCTAACAAATCACTCATTCGGTCATCTGAACATCCACGGGAACGATGTGATCAAACTCTAGTTTGATAGTTAATCCCGGGGGATGCTCGTCCGCTCTAAAGAAATAAATCACAAATTTAATGGTATCTGGCGTAAAAACAAAATATTTTGTCATGTGCATAACCAGTGACCACCAGCAATACTGCAGCGAACAGAGGATAAGCTTGCCTGAGCAGAAAAATGCTTGCTTCATTTAATAATCGCTTTAAAACGAAAATAAAAAGTGAAACGTTGTGATTGGGTTTTTCCGCTGGTCGCGGACACTTGACGTCGGGTGTGCAGAATCTGCACGACAGATCAGTTTTCTTCCTGTCAAACTAGTGACAGGGAAGAAAACAATATCAGCGATTTCAGGGCCGTAGCGAGGGTATAGGCGCACTGGCGCGCGCCTACCCCTCCTCGGCCAACTTTTGACTAATATTTGCGCCCGAAACTGGCGCACAGGCGCACGGGCGCAAAATTTCTGGATTTTTCAAAGGGCGCAGCGGGTGCCACTGGCCATGCGCCCGTGGCGCAGAGTGGACTTTGGCCGATGTGCCTTGGTCTGAGGTACGGCGATCAAGAACTATAATAATTAAACTATATTTTATATTAATTAAAGTAGTAACGCGCGGCCTGTTTATACGGGCGCAGGCTTCGAAATTTATGGGCGCAGTGGGCTCAGACTGACCTTCGAAGCGGGCGCAAATGGCGCAGCCAAATTGCGCGTACCCCATCCCACGGACCTCGCTACGGCCCTGAGCGATTTGGCGATAAAGGTCGGGAAAAAGGCTATAAATTTTCTGCCAAAATTGTAACAACCTGGGCAGCTCATCCTCTGTACAGAAACAAAGCTCACTTGCAAGCCTCCTTAACAGGATCAGGAACTGCAAAAATATGCAAGCAAATTTCTTGCACTGACACCCTTGCCGGAGCATTCTGATAATTCATGATCTGTGACCGTCCAATCTCTGGTCCGACGGAGCCACTCAACCCAGTCAAGAGCAAGATCTTGACAGCTTCTCCTTCTCGAGCCGCAGCCTGAAGGCGACCGCAATAATCCGGACCCAACCGGACCGTATCTGCAACATTCATAAAATGAGGATGCTACACGATATCAATAATATTTTTGTATAGATTTATAAATCGCTACGTCTTTTTTCCGAAAATCTAACTCTTAATTCAAGATTGAACTTCTAAGTAATACTATTTTAAAATATGTTTTCAAGATCGGTGATTAATTTCTTGTGTAAAGGTACAGGCAGTACTTGCGCAAAAAGTGCGATATTGGCAGTCGCCAGTCAATACGACGGCCACTGCACTACAGCTATCGAAATAATAAATTCGTGCAATTCATGCATTTTATGATTTGTTCGCTTTTTATTCATATATTTTATGTAATACCTTAGTATTCATTTTCACATCAGTATTTACATCCCCCGTATAGTTTGAAATAATTTCGCTTTTGTAAAAATTCAAAACATTACGAAATATCACCACAGCATATTAACATGTGTATCTTGCTCGGTAGATTTACGAATGTTACACGTTGTCTTTGTCATGCTATCATCGTACATACTTCACTGTACTTGTACTGCTGCTCAACTGAAATTTCATGGTTGTATAATGTACTGTCCTGTCCAATCGATACTGTTCGCTGAAGCAATAATTATTATTTCCTTGTGAAAAGGCCGGCGTGTTAACCGTTGCGCAACGTACAATTTGAAGCATTTTTATATCCGTATTTAGAGTTAATAAACATTTTCTTTTGAAACTTGATCAAATTTCAAATTGATAAAATTATTTTAACAGGAATTTAATGGAAAAACCGGAATTAAAGTGTGGATTGAACGTGAAGTTAGAAAATTGTTAAAAAAATTGATATGAACAGCAGTTTACTCATTAACGGGCAGCTCGATAAACATAACAATAAATAATCAAGTAACAAAGAAAAGTGACTCATTTCAAAGCAGCCGGAAAATAATAAAAACTGTTGTATTACCTAAATGGTACGTAAGATTTCCCCATCTAGGAGTTTTTCCGGATTCGGGCGTGCCAGGTGGCGATTCCGCCAGGCCTCTGCAAGACGTTTATAATTAAAATCGTAAATGTTAAAGCCATTTTTGGTTACGTAGCGCTACCCGCATGGCCCTAGTGAACCCTTTAAATACAGTACAAAATATCTACTCCTAAGGGCGGCCGCCATGGGGGCAGCTATGGTACACATTGAACAGACGCCTACATTGAACGAAAATCTGGGAACGGGAGGTATTCTGCTGGCAGGTTTTACTGTATTTTCCTTTACGTTGTCATTATTAACGACAAAGATCACTTACTGTTCGGGCAATGCCGCGATATTCGATGGCTGCTCAGGCTCGAATAGGTCCATCAGTTGGCGTGCACGCTGGATCAGTGGTGAGGCGCCACTAATTCCACCCTTATGGAAACCCGCTTCAAAATATGTTTTTCCAACAATCGTATACGCAAGTTGCTTAAAATCGACCGAATAACAAAACTCAGATTATTTCAAGGCCAGATTCAAGCGGATAGGATTCGTTGCATCGTACGCACTGGCAACAAAATTCAACGCCTCTTCAAAGGACCTGCGAGTAGCATTGAGCATGGCGCGCCGAAACTGGCCGCTTGCTACTTGAGCTACTTCAGACAAATGCTGAAAGTATTCAGTTTTCATATCGAAATAAAAAACTTTGCTTTCGGGATTGGAGGCCTTGGGGATGAGGTGTTTGTCCAGCAAAGTCAGGACCTCGACGCAGGACGTCTCAACTTCATGCTGCTTCTGCTCGCGGTATTCCTTTGCCATCTCATATTTCCGCGCAACTCCTTGGACTTGGTTTTCAATGGATAAAAGTACTTTCCACGACGGTAATCGATCATTTACTACCATCTTGTAAGCAACACTCAGGAGAAACCTTTCCTGGTTACTCAGCTCCTCACCGAGCTCCGTTACGTTCTTCATCGCCAATGCCATATCATCGTAGCGTTTAAACGCTGCGGCCTCACTGGCCTGTGCAATAAAATTCTGCCGGGCCATGCTATAAACTGTACAAAAATCTGAGCTGTTGTGCTAATTCTCAGATCTTTATAAAGACAAACCAGGGAACAGGAAATCTTTCGAAAAGAAAGTCTATGAAATACTGAAATAGCAGATATGCCGTGTCCGTTATGTGCCACAGAAAACTTGAGTTGTTCGTATTAATAATATTTTGCTCGTGTTTACGGACGTAACCGGTTACTGGAGGCGGTTGTCTACTTCGCGCGCTCATCTAACTTCTGGCTCGCTGCAAATCTACTTCCGCTGCTGCCAAATTTTGCCATAACTGATAAAGGCGTAGCTCCGATCGCGCTCGTCTGCCCCCGTTGCCAACCGATAGCGCGCGGTGTATCTGGATGATGGCCAGGATGCCTGCCTATCGATCTTTTCAAATTTTACGCGGCGCTATCATTTATCCGGAGAGTGTATGTAAAAGGGAATCTGCGATTTGCCGGAGTGGAGATGTACGACGGTAAAGCCGTCAGCTGCGAAGCACACCACGAAGGGACCTACTCGTCGCACTCTTCCCTGAATAACGGCTCCTCTTTCGTCCAAAATGGCCGTCACGACGAACGGAAAGAACAAAAAATTTCACCGCGATGGATACCGTGCCCAAGAAGAGCAAGGGCCGCCCGCGCAAGGACCAAACGGTAAGAAATCAGAAATATTTCTTATTAAATTTTGTTCCGGAATATTAATTATCATGATTTTTTGAATTTTCAACGTTAATTTTGATATTATAAATTCTTTCATAATTTAATACTTATTATTCTCGATGTAACAGCAATAATACGAGTAATATCGAAAAGAGTAATATAATTGCTACTACAAAAATTATATTATCGTTGGCAGTCGTTATGATGGTGCCTGTGTTCGATACTTAATGAATAATTATCGCTTCGCTATATCTTCAGTATTTCTACTGTGCATAAGGATGGAAATGCATCCCATTGAACAGCTAAATAATTATTTAAATTTTGATTCATAAATGGGTGTATCTGGAAGTTTGCCTGACGGATTTCGTGGAGTGCCAATTTTGCATTTATTTGTATCATTTTTACTCGTTTTCGTAGGCTGTGAAAAAAGTCGTGGATGAAAATACTCGCCAAGGGATTGCGAGCGGAAAGAGTTGCAAGAGTCAACCTAACGGTAAATGCAGGAAAACTGAATTATTTTAAATGGGAAAGACTGCTTTTGCGGAAAAAAATCATGGAAAAAAAATCTGGGAAAAAATTAACCGTGAAACGATAAACCGGGATTAATTCTGCTATATTGTTTTCGGTTTTGTGACTTTTGTCATTAATAAGAAAACTAATATTTGAACTGACAAATCAGCGTCTTAGGAATTGAAAGAAAATTATGCTGATTATGTATTTCGCTGCGGAAAATCGTAGAAAGCCGGGAATGCAGGGAAACAGGATGGGAAGCGCGTGGAATCCAAAACGGCGCAGGCGGTCCGTAAAGTGAAATCGCACTGTCGAGCTGAAACGGTGCAGCCTGCACAGGCGAAGGATGCCATCAAGAAAAAGGTATTCATCCAAAATACGGGGCAGTATCTGCTTAAAAAATACAGTATGCATTTATATAAAATAATCAGACATTAATTTTTCTTTATTTTTGCGGTATACTGGATAAATAAAATACCACCATAGAACTGAATATTGAAGCATGTTTTTCCCGTTAGTGCGCGCCGATACGCCGATTCCGGAAGTCCGCGGTACTGTCAAGGAAAGCCATCCGGCGACGAAAAAAGCGGAGAAGCAGCCACCGGAAATCAACCACCAGGATGTGACGAAGGAGCGGAAGGTGGGCGTTAACTTTCTGTTTTGTCGCTAATACAGCGCGCATAGTAGTTGCAGTATTTAAAAAAAAGTTAAAAAATTGTATACTTTATTGAGGTTCGTATTGGACAATGTAATACAAGAATATCAATTAACAAAAACCATAACATCATTTCCGTTCCGCAGTATTTTGGTTAGTAATGTAGTACGTAGTCGTACCGATACAATTGACGTACAAGCGCCGGTTCAGTACAGCGAAATACAGTACACAAATTTGCGTGTTACGCCAAACGTAGTGTAGTGGCAATCGCTATAGCGCAGACTTCGCGCTAATTATGTGCTATCTGTACCTTTACGACAGAAATTACCGGACAGGCTTGTACATGTTTATTTCTAGGCTTACGTTTTATTTGAATGTATGTACCGCACGTGAGTCGGTTTGATGAAATGTTTTTTTGACAATTGGAATCGTGTTATGAGGAATGTTAATTTTGACGCTTTTTGCGATAATAATTGTGTCTGGTTTTGTAAGAAAAACCGGATCGTGCACACCGTCCGATAAAGACCAAAAACGACCGGAAAACTGTTGAATCTCCCGCAAAGTCGCACTGCCTGGTGGAGCAGACGACTGATGACGCTGTGGATATCAATTTGGTCTCTTCCGGTCAGTACAGCGTTTGTTCAACGAATTCGATATGTGTTGCGTTTCGGGTTGTTTTTCTGTTATTTACTCATGTTTATTCACCGTCTTTTTTGGATTACCGCTTGTTTGTTTTTTTCTGGTCGCTGAATTGACTGGGAGGTGTGAACGGCTTTTTTTTTACGTTAAACGAATGTGTATTGTATTATCTTTCCGCGATGCCTGGAAAAAAAATAAAATAATTGGTCTGTTATCAGTGTTATGTGAATGAGGGCTTATCGGCGCGCGTTACGATCGCAGAAAAAACCTTATGTAGATATTTTGCTAATTTTATTTAGCAGTTTTGTAATTATAATGTGGTATGGTTTTTTTTACTTATTTTTGTAATTTTATCTACTGATTTATCTTTTAGTGATTTTATTATTTTTCACCGGTTGTGTTATACGACGGCTGACGCAGGAAAAAAATGTTAAAAAATGTTTTAGTTGAATGACGACTGCCGGTGCGCTACGACCGCAAAAAGAATCTAATTTTTCATTATTAGTTCGCACTGTTATTTTATTACAGTACCGATGTGTATTATGCAATGGATAATGCGGGAAAAAATACAAAAAATTTACCTATGAAATGACGGTTATTTTTGGCCGTAATCGCGAAACAAAAAACTTAAATCTATTTTTCTTCGTAATGTCTGGCGTTAGTCAGACCGGAAGTAGTGCGTAAAGCATATAGTAGTGTATACTCCAACTGGAGGGCTTACCTCATGCTTTAGCATACCTTACCTTATAGAGCTATATACCATACCATATACCATACCATACCATACCTTAGAGGGCTTACCTCAGCATGAGGTATACTCCAACTGAAACTGATGGGAACGCCCCTACTGGAGCAACTGGAGGCCCGAACTGACGAATTGAACCTGTTCATTTCATCAATTTGACTGGAGCTCCGCCCCTCCAGTTGGAGTATACACTACTATATGCTTTACGCACTACTTCCGGTCTGACTAACGCCAGACATTACGAAGAAAAATAGATTTAAGTTTTTGTTTCGCGATTACGGCCAAAAATAACCGTCATTTCATAGGTAAATTTTTTGTATTTTTCCCGCATTATCCATTGCATAATACACATCGGTACTGTAATAAAATAACAGTGCGAACTAATAATGAAAAATTAGATTCTTTTTGCGGTCGTAGCGCACCGGCAGTCGTCATTCAACTAAAACATTTTTTAACATTTTTTTATTAGTGCATTATATAACAACTCGCCAGTTCTCGCAACAGTTTACAACGAGGAGCGGCTCACTTTCCGCCGCGTTGTAATGGTAACCACTTGCAGCAATGCAGGAGAAATACAAGCGCAGCCGGTTAAGTCCCGGTTAGTGACCGCAAACGTTCGATGAACTCGGCTCGGAGCCGACCCAGACTCGGTAAAGCGACTGCAGTGAATGGATTATGGTTCTCAATGCATCCAGACTCACCGCCCGAGACACTGTGACTGGCCGTGACTCGACCACGCACTCGCCTAAAATCCGCGTGGTGGCAAACGGCACGCAGCACGGCTGCAGACTGAGATGCAACATTTGCAACATTTGCGATGATCAGCGCAGTTTTCTAGGCGTTTCCACACGCGTGCCTGTGCTCTGATCCGATCCTGCTGGAGGGTTGGGATCTGAGTTATTCACCTAATTCGGTTCATTTTGTGCACTTAACGTCTCGTGCTTAGTACAGCAATTACACGTCCACTCTCGCATGAAATCCATTGGAAACTGTCGCTGTGCAAAGTCTAAGTTTGATCAAACAAGGTAAAATTAAAGTTTTTTATTTCGGACCTCAACAAGTGAAAATCATCGCCGACTACCTATAATCAATTTTTAAATTGCAATCGTAAATGCGCATTTTCAAATTGGTTCTTATCCAAGTGTGAGGAACCTTGATGTGTACAGCGCAACTTATCCACTCATCCACAAATCTGCATTCTCTGTTGCACTACTTCTTATGAATGTTCATGAATGTTTATTTTATCCCAGCTGTGCTATCATTTTTCACCTGAAAAGAAATTTAAACAAAGCAACCAGGCGTACGATGTATCAGCGTACAGTATTTAAGCAAGTTCAGCCACGCAATGAAATTTTTCTCTGTCGGTTTTTTTCCAAACTTATTAAACGGATATTGCAAATCGCGCCCGCAAAGAATAAGAAGACCGGAAATTACAAAAGAAGCTTGAAAACCCGAATTTACCTTACAACCTACAGTCAAGTAAAATTTTTAACGACACTAACATGTGCACTCGGGTTAAGACTTCGATTTGAACTAACATGATTACGAAGGTTTATAATCAGTTATAACCTAAGAACAGCACTCTGATTAAGGCTCTTGTTAAAATTGTGGGAAGCAGATGCTCAGCTTAACAATCGTTTTGCTTGGCTTTAACAATTCCCCATTCGACAAACTGACTTCAGATTTTTTCGGCAAATTTTCTGCAGAAATATTACTCAAGTAAATTTTCGCAGCGAAAACGTTTTCATCTTTATCTTTGCTATTTAAAAAGACTAAACTTAACGCTTTCAGTTAAAATTTTTTCAGTAGTATCTACGCAAGGGATAGCCGCATGATGTACGTACATTTCGGCATAAGGACATATCGACATAAGACACTTTACTATAAATTCATTTTAGCATAGCGAAATCTTGGCACGCGGCTATTTCAGCTTCAAATCTAAGAAATCCAAATTTTAAAATCACTTGAGAAGTTAGAAAACGTATGCAATCTAAAAAAATATATTAAACTAAAGCAAGCCGAAAAAGCCAACAAGCTTATAAAAATCAAAAAAAAAATATTAGAGAAAAGCAAGAAATATGCAAAAAAAACAGGGAAGCACAAGACAACATGAAACAACACATTCAAATGTGATTATTCAACTGAAGCGTACACAGAAAACGTTTGCACTACAGTAACATGCCGAAATGTCTGTGTGACGAGTCGGCGAAATGTTTTATGGCCAATTTTTTTCATGCCAAAGTTTCCAACTAAAAATTACTCTTTATAAAACATTTCGCAAAAACTATTTTTGTGTAGCGCAACATTAATTAGTCCAGAAGCTAAAAATTCACTTATTAAATGTATATTTGTTGTAAAGATAAAAATCTGTTAGCTTTAGCAAAAGTCTTAACCCGAGTGCTAATGTTAGTTTTGATCTGAGTATGAACCCGAGTGGTGATGCTAGTTCAAAGCAGAATCTTAACACGAGAGCTCAAAAAAGTGTTGATAAAAGTTTCAAGCCAGCGGAATACTTGCGTATAACGTTCTAAAAAACTTTTCACATAAATTTCATCAAATTCGAAAAGGCTCGCTATTCGGCAGCGTATACAAAAGATAGCGTAGCCCGCAAACGTTTTTGTCACTTCCAAAAACAGTTAAAACAAAAAACTTACATAATTATTTGCAAATAATTAACTCAAAAATTTGGTATGCTGCAATAACTTTTTAATCAGCCTTTTTTTTTAACTGGTTTCTCAACCGACATTTATCTGTTAGATCTGAGCAAATCCAATGATTCCAGACAGCAGATTTCCGCAGACGTACAGGATAAAAAATTGTTTTGATAATTGTCGAGCCAAAGTCAAATGTGCAAACAATACCAAAGACTTCTTAGGTTAAAATCTTTAAATTAATAATGTCGTATTTCTGCTTGGAATTACACCATTCTTAATTTGTAGCACTCTTTTGGTTTGTCAAAAAAACAACTAATACAAAATAAATAATATATAACACTCGTACATTTTCTTTAATTCTTTAACTGGAATAAGCTCTGTTATGATACATTACTTCTGTTATAATGCCTTTCTAGCTGAACACATTTCGCATCTGAACATGAAAAATAAATTTAATTAGTTTTATAATATTTTGTGGACGGTGGAACTTTTGGGTTTTTGGTAGCAGTAGTCAGAGTTCGCAAATATCAAGTTATCTCAAGTTTGAAAACCAGAGTACAAATGTTAGTTTTAATCAAAGTATTATCATAAGTGCTGATCGTAGTTTTCAGCATAGTCATAACCCGAGTTTTCATCTTAGTTCTGTCAAAAGTTTCTGCTGACAAAAAGAATATTATTTTTGAACCGCGTTATTATGCTGAAAATTTTAGAGCTATTTGCTAGCGTGTTTGGCAAGCGGGAGAACATTACAAATGGACTGTGGTGGGCCTTATCATCTTGATTTCACTAACTATGCTGCTGTAGGAGTATCATAATACGCCTTTCCAGTAATATGTTCAGCAATATATTCCTTAATTAGTTTTCAGCAAAGCATTACAAAAAACTACGAAACATTATGGCTCGAGATCCACAAGCTACTTGTTTAAATGTTGCTGATCCTTCACACGGAACTCATAATTACTATATTTTTGCAGGTGCCAGTATTTTATATTATCTTATAGTCTTTACATGGTAAATTTTATCAATAAAAGGAACATTGTGATAACTTGGATGGCTTTTTTAAAACATTTATTATCTGAGTGCGGAAAACGGATGCCACACACGCTAAGAAACCACAAATTCCAATGGATGTCGAGACGTGTAACGCTGTAAACACTGCTACTGAGCGCGAGACGCTAAGTGCATATAATGAACCGAATTAAGTGAATAACACAGATCCCAGCCCTCCAGCAGGATTGGATCAGAGCACAGACACGCGTGTCGATCCACGGATAAACGGTCTATAATTCTATTTCCTTGTTTCCTTGGTTATCTTCGGGATTTTGTCCTTATTATTCCATTTATTAACCCAGATACTCTCTTTAATCTTGTAAGCACACCTTTTTCCCAGTCCCGCAGCAGCAGGAACTAAATCCACCGTTTGCTTGTAGAGAGCTTGTGGCGTCGTTGAAGCAGAGACCTTGACACGAGTTTCCCGCATCTCAGTCATTTTCACATCTCCTTTTCGGTGTGTAGCCATTGCCAACCGTCCACCCCTTGATACAAAAATATTCTCCGATCATTCCTGTAAATAAATAACCCAGTTTTGTCCCGTAGGTGTGTGCTATGAGTAATTGGCGTCGCGATCCCAATGCATCGGGTGCTTCCGCGTTCCCCGCTGAAGCCACGTCCGATGCCTCGTCCACGGTGTCACCGGCCGCTCTGACGGCCGCCCAACAGCAGCAGCAGTCGCTCCTCCATCAGCAGCAGCAGCAGTACCTACAGCAGGCCGCCGCGGGGGTGGTGGACGGGGCCAATAAGTATGTTCCGCCGCACATGCGCCAGATGCAGCAGATGCCTCTGCAGCAGGCTCCTGGGGCCTTTCCGCCCCTCGGGGGCTATGCCGCCGACGGGTATGGGGCGGCGCAGGCCGTCAACGGTGCCATGATGCCGGGGATGGTGCAGGGCGCCGCGCCGGGGATGATGTTCTATCCCGGAATGCAGGTGGGTGGATTTTGGCAATTTTTAAATGATTTTTCATTGAATTTTCGTTCGGGAATTATCAATTTCTCTGCTCACACTGAAAACCTTGTCGTTGATTGTGGTCTAATGTTTGTGTACGGTATTTGAAAAATTCAAAGTGAGCGTAATTCTGAAATTTACCAAATACATGCTATCCCCCTGATGCTGGATTTGTTTTATTGGAATAATGGAATTGTTGAATTTTCCAGTTTCGTGTTGAAGTTGAAAGCCTTATCTCTCACTATGACATGTGATGTAATGTTGTTTAAATTTTTTTATAAATGTCTAATAATTGATTTTCTAAATTTACCAATATCGGACCAGAGAATTTTGCAGGTCGGTGGCTGAAGTGGGAGGGCGATTAATTTTTAGAAAACTGATTTTTTAATTTGATTAACCTGTTTACTTGACGTTGTAGCGTGGGATATGTTTCTCTAAACAGTTTTGGGAATTTATAGGAGCTGAATTTCTAAGATTTACCTTTATCAAACCTGAGAATTTTAACTCTAGCAATTGAATACGGTAGAAGCAAGCCATTTTTTCTGAAATGAATTTTCAATTTAATTAGTTTTCTCAGCGTTGGTGTACTGTATTTCTTACATTTATTCCTACGGTAATTTGTATGGTCTTTCAAAAAGCTCTCGTTTGTTGTAAATTAGAATCCAGATGAGTCGAAGTGTGGCCGATTTTGCTGGGAAAGATCTTTATAGATAATGTTTGTTTCTTAGAAATTTTAAAGGTCGATGGCGGTTTCAGTGTGCGGAAAAATAATCCTCAGTAAAGCTGTTATGCGCGATTAAAAACTGGAGCGAATCAGGCGTGATATTAGCGTTTAAAACTTTTAAGTGATTATTTTTGAAAACCAAGAAGATTAATACGAAATATTCTAGATTTATGAAGGCTGTATTTTATAAAATCTTTTCCTTACAAAATAATGAAGAAAGGCGTGAGATATTTGTAGAAACCTTTGGGTGTTTTTTACAAGCACAAAAATTCTGATTCAGTCAGTCAAGACTTTTCAAACTCGACTACTAACGAGCTACGTACGAGTATAAAAATTTAATATTATCCAGGTTTATTTTCTTGAATACTCCAAATATCCTTCGTTATATTGTGGTTGCAAGCGAGATATTATCAGGAATATTATCCTCTACTCAGTAGAGTTATTATTAAAAACAGGCTTCTACAGAAAAAAAGCAGCGGGAATTTTCTACGCCTGTTGAGTCGACGAAAATGCGTTTAAATTTGGTCTTTTAATTTTGTTGTGATTATTGGTCGACGAAATCAATGGGAAACTACAGCGCGGTGCGTTTGTCTTTGGCAGAACGCCTATCTGGCGCAGGGCGCGGCCACCGCGCGTACACGCGTACAGCCAGCCCTCCCAAGCGCAAATGTACCAGCAGCCGCAGCGTCCCGGCGGCGCCGTGGATGCCCAGCAACAGCAGCAGCGCCATTTCAACAACGCCGCCGCGGGCTACACGGCCACCAGCACCGACGTCCGGGGGGCGGGCGGCGGATACGGCCAGCAGCAGCAGATGCAACAGCAGCCGTATAACAACAACATGGCCTCGGGCAGCGCGGCATGCAGCATTCGGGCAGCACCGGCAGTTTCAATAACTTTGGCAACCGGAACAACTATCAGAATAATAACTACGGCCGGAATGATGGGTACGGGGATCGGGGCGGCGGCTATGGCGGGAATAATCAGCGGTACGGGCGCAATGCGCAGGATTTCACGCCGGAAGAGTGGAATTCGGCGCTGCCGCGCGATCCCGGTCTGGAAGGGTACGTGCAGGTGTTTCCAGATTTTTTGTAGGATGTTCATTATTTTGTTTTCCGTTTGTACGATTTTTTCTGCACTTTTTTTATTTTCAAATTAATGTTCTCAAAATACGTGTGCATAAACCATTATTTTTTAATTGCATGGCAAAAAGCAGGTAAACTGCAATAATGGCATCCAAATATGTATGAACCGTTTGTTTGTAAAGAAGAAATGAGCTGCATAAATCAAAGCGTTTAATTACTGGAAGACTGCACGAATAAATTAATTACAATTTGGTTAAACAACTTAAAACTGAAATTTAATAGACGGACTTTTCAGTAATCATAGCTTTTTTGACGCTGATAGTATCGTAGTGCAGTGGAGCTGACCATTTTGGTTACCATGTTGCGTGTGGCTTATTTATCAAATTTACTGAAAATCGAGGAGAGACGTTTGTTTTTCGCGGTAGGTTGAATTGTTAGAAAAATTATTGTGCTTTTCCAGGACGTTGTTCCAGAAAGTCAATACGGGCATCAACTTCGACAAGTATGAGGATATTGAAGTGGAAGTCAGCGGGCGGGATGCACCGGCACCCATTCAATCGGTATGAAAATGGTCAGAATAAGCGTCTCCTATTTTTTTCTATAAATTTAATTCTGAGTGTAGAATATTTTCTCAATTTTTGCTGGTGAATTTCTCAATATTTTGCGAATTTGTTTTCAGTTTGTGCAATTTGAATATCAACGTTGATATGTGTTTTCGGGTTGTAGAGCTTTAACGATGTCAGTCTGCATGCCATTATCCGGCAGAATGTGGAGTTGGCCGATTACAGTCGGTAAGAAATTTATCAGGAATTTTTTCTACGCTGAAACCAATTTAATTTTGCGTTTTCTGATGATTTTTTTCAGACCGACCCCGGTGCAGCGTTATGCGATCCCCATCGTGTTGAACGGTCGCGATCTGATGGCCTGCGCTCAAACAGGTAAATTGCGGGTGGTTTTTTGTGCGACTTGTCATCGGGGATTTTGCTACGGATTTATTTTTAATTGTTGAAGAATTTATTTCTGTTTATCAGCGTTTTTTGTTCGATTTCTATGGTTATTTAATTGTGTAGGTTCTGGCAAAACGGCGGCGTTTTTGGTTCCGATCCTCTCGCAGATGTTGACCGGTGGCCCGCCACAAATCCACATGACGGTAAGCATTTTTTTGCGATTTAATGGAAAAATAAAAAATATGTAAAAAATGATATTTTCAGTTTTACAATAAATTTTGGAGAATTTTTAATGGCGCACAGAATCTTTCGGTGAGTTACGCAATAATTGTCATGTGATTGTGCCGGACAAAACTGTGCCAGATGAAAAGTGATCAAGAGAAGAACGCTAGCTCGTGGCACTGGTGTTTTTAGTGTTGGCGAGTCAGTAGTCTTCTGTACAAAATTATAAATCGATTTTTCGGAATTATTGTGAAAATGAAAGGAATTAATGTGTGTTTTAGTAATTAGTTTGGAGGAATTAATTGACGGTTATTTTTGTAATTTTACAGCAGCAGCGCCGGCGTGTACAGTATCCGTTGGCGGTGATTCTGGCGCCCACCCGCGAACTGGCCATCCAGATCTACGATGAATCGCAGAAGTTCGCCTATCGCACGCGCATCCGTTCGGTGGTGGTTTACGGCGATGCGGATATTGGACAGCAGGTGAGGAACGCCGAATGGCATTGAACACGTTTTACGTTGTTCACATTTTACGTTTGTAATAATTTATTCCTTGCACAGTTCGTGTTGAATGTGGATTTTTAGTGTTAGTAGTTTTTCGCAGACTTCTTTACGTTGAATTTATTATTTGGTCTGCTTTATTTTACGCCTGAGTTGTAATTCATTTGCTCTTTCTCCAATTTATTCACGTTTTATTTATTTGCGGCTGTTCTGATTTATTATTACGTTGATTTGTTCTTTAAAACTGACCTATGTGGTCTGTTTATTTTATTTCGCAGCGAATATTAATTGACATTTTTTCCTAATTTTCTCTTTTAATTGTTCATTCTGGCAGTTAGTATTATTTACGCTGATTTTCACCCGTTTATTCGCTAGCATTGATTTGCTTCCCGGTTACTGTTTATTCGGATTCACTGGAATTGTCGTGATTTTTTTCACGATTTAAATGCCCATAATTATGATAATAACCCTAATAATTGACAACAGCATAGTTGATGGTGGTGGCGTTTTTCTTCCGGCAGATTCGGGATCTGGAGAAGGGCTGCCACATGATCGTGGCCACGCCGGGCCGTCTGAATGACATGGTGGAGCGCGGCAAGGTGTCGCTGGACTATGTGCGCTACCTGGTGCTGGACGAGGCCGATCGCATGCTGGATATGGGCTTTGAACCGCAGATCCGCAATCTGGTACAGGAGAACGGCATGCCGCAGCCGTCCCACCGCCAGACCCTCATGTTCTCCGCCACCTTCCCCAAGGAGATCCAGATCCTGGCCAATGACTTCCGTCCCTCAGGCCCCCTACTGCCCGCCACCAGTAGGAATAGCGGCTACGGACGTGGAAAGCGGCGCCTTGCCTGGGACTTTGGCAACAGCGCCGACGCAGGCGGAAGAGAACGCTGGTCGCGCCGAGAAATACCAAATGCCAAATGTAAAGGCCATATCGCAGGTGGTGAATAAGCGTTCCCACGGTGGATGGGATGGAGATGGATTTGATGTGGCACCAAGTGTTGAATCAATCAAACGCTTAAAACCGGGGTAAGGAGCTAAGATGCTATTTTATTTTGTCATGATCGTCTGGTTAGTCCTGCGCAGTTTCTTGCAGTCATCTTCATCTGTCTTACGGTCACTCCTCAGCTACGATCTGGAATCCATCGACGATCATCCCATAATCTGAGTAATCGTGCCCCGTCGCGCCGTTTCCAGCCCGTACCGTTAGGAGGTCCCGTTGATGAACCACTGGTCAATTCGTCACGTGGTAAATTGGCACGCGGTAATCCGCCGCAGTACAAAACGGGTCCAACAATCTCCGCGTTTATTGCAGGAGTACATGAACAGCTGCGACACAAATATAAAAAAACGCAAGCACCCAGCAGCAGAAAAAGTAGCCGTGACCGTACCGCTGATAGTGTACCGGCGTGGACGGATTTCTGCTTTCTTGTTTATTTCGTAGTAAATTTCTCGAACTTGCTGGATAACGACTGATTCTTCTACCGTTGAGATAAGTTGGTTAGGTACATAATAACTGTCATTTTAACAGTGCGCTGTAATATTGAATAGTACACTTAATACGCTGTTTGGATCTAGTTTTGTCACTTGTGTGTATGTGCTGTCTAACAGCAGTTTGGTTTTTTTCCCACGATGCGTAATTGTTTCTTCTTCGCTAATTTCTTTAGGAAGTAATTAATTTATTTATTTATTCGCCGGGACCTTACCAAAGGAAATTAAAGTTACAGTTTGGGGTACTTTAACAGTTTGAAACGGGTATCATCACTATCATGCTTTGGTCAGAACACAGAACGGCAGAAACTATGGTCATAGCGAACACTTAGAAACAAACCAGGTCGACAATCACAATTGTTAGCATACGTATTACACCTACCCTAGGAATTGCCGAACCAGTGTAAAAGCAATCCACCAGATATCTGGAAGAACAGACAGCCGTGGGAAAGCTCCATGCACACAACCCTTGTGTTTTTTGGACCTCATTCAAAATATCCCGAATTCTACAGTGACACGATTTTATTGACACAATTTAAGTACCCTGATTTCTCACAGTCTTCTGACTCTCTGTTTACTTTTTACAAGTAATTCATTACACTTTTTCAGATTAATTGACTCTTGTGATAATAAGCTTTTAAAACGTAGTTTTCTTGCAATCGTGAATGTGGGCACTAGGGGCACCGGCACCGGTAATAGTGCATGTTACGAGCATAATAAATCCAAACTTTCGATCTGAATTTTAATTAGGTACTCGTACTTCAACTAATTACCGGCATTTAAGTTTGCATACGATAATTATAGAAATAGTGGGCTGCATTCGATAATACAATTGCCATCACATAAATGGCATCAGTACAGCACCTTAATATCTGTATGCAGCAGTACATAACTACTAGTCTACTACTCATAGTATATACAGTTGGACAATGGCCAGACTTGCCACCAATGTAGCGTTATTGGAAAATAGACTGCTGTTTTGGACTGGCGCAGAATTGTCTGAATATGCCAAACTAGTTTGATTATCTGCAGTTGTTTGCTTCTCAAAGGTCTGGCCATCGCCACCATAGCTACTCTTAATCCCACTCTCGCTGCCTGCTTAAAAATAGATACAAAAAATAAAAAAATAATGATATATACCAACAAAACATGACGGTATCCGTTGCGGATTACTGGTGTACAGCGTGGTAGCGCCAAGTTGTACCACGCTGTATATATCCGTTACGTGACAGCCGATTGGAGAGAAAATCAAAGAAAGACTAAATAAACTGCGAGCTATAGTTTGTCAAGAGTCAATGAAAGCGCGATTTTGTTTTTGTAGTTTATCACATTTATTTCGTTATCCGAACTGTTTTCGTGCAAAGTTGCTTACTACCTTAGACAATTTTAATGCCGTGTGAAACAAATTACCTGCCGAAGTGCGAATCAGTTATTACACTGTCACTACGAATTAGTGCACCGGTGATTAAGCCTATTATTTCTTTTCCGAAAACATGCGCTGGGAATACATTGCTCCAGTCCCATCTGAACTGACCTTATAAAATGACAATCTGCTCCACCCAACGGATATATATTGGGTGTCCGCCACCCCGGGTTTCCGCGACAGCTCTCATCTCGTCCAATAAATCTTAACAAACCCGGGTGGCCGACACCCAGGTAGACAACTTTTCCATCCTTTAAAAGTAAAATAATCTACATAGTACTGTCGTAGTTTTAAAATCTACATAGTACTGTCGGGTCCCGGTTTTCAGTAGGCTGCCTCTAAAATTACCACAACCAATCGTGGCGTTACTGGTTTGAGTTTGTATTTTAAAGGCTGACTGATCTGCAAAGCATCTGTAAGTTTTATTTCTGTTATTTGTAATATGATGAATCCATCTTTTGACTTAGTCCCTCATTCAGAATCCCTGAGAGGGCACCCCACACAGGCATCCGGTCCAGTCCTATTAAAATTGTGCTTTATTCCTTTTCGTTTTGCCAAAAGACACCACAGGAAGTGCTTAATTTCAGAACCTGCTAGAAGTACATATGTTTACATCAACAATGCATACTTACAACAAAATACTGGCTGTCAGCTTCTTTGTTGCAGTACTACCTGCCTGTGTGGAACAACAATGTAATTTGCGAATGCCCAAATTGCCTGAGCACTATGAAGCCGTGACAGTTTACCGTCCAGCATGGTTTTGTAACAAAACTTATCAGAACGTTGCTCATCGCCAAAAGGGACGTAAAATTCGGCAAAATATAGTTTTTTGGTAGTTCAGTTCAATGTTCATTCATGACATATTTTCAAATGACTTTTCTACGACCTTTAAATAATGCAGTCTGCGGTATGAATATATAACAGAATCAAAAATGCAATAAGCGCAGCTTGCACATTTCCAAATTAAACTCTGTACCAAATTGCAGTTCCTTATCATTTTCGTGATGAAGCATAGGAGTTTATGGATCCATGCCGTTGGAATCCCCTGTTGACGTACTCGTAAGCAGTAGTGCTAGTTTTTCTGGATGGCGGCGCTGCTTCGTAAGCAACGCTTACTTTCCTGGATGGCGGCGCTGCTTCGTCAGTAGTGACGTGCATTAACTTATTGTGAATCTGAAAATATAGTACAGTTCATTAGGTAAGTTAGCAATTTCAAAGTAATGGGTAATGGCAGACTTCGATTTACATTCATGGCAGCGCTATTGCTTCCGGCACGACGCTGAACATTGAGTGCATACAATACTGCGTCGTGTAAGGTCACGAATAACTGATGCGGCTTAATGTACTCGTCAGCTTTGCATAAAACGAGCATATCTCGAACCGGCTCTAAAATTAATAGAAAGATGGCTTCATCATCAAGTCACATGCAGAATGAGATTTAAAGGATAACCATGCAAAATAATATTGTATAAATATGTAGTAGTTTACTGTTTGTGCAGGCCAGCAGTAGTTCTACGTCAATCGCACTGCACTCCATTGAGCACTTCTTCAAGAATCCCACACCGGTAACATCCACAAAACACACTTCCGAACAGTCAATAATCAAGTGTTTGGTGGGAACTGTTTCCGCCATCGTCAAGGTATCGGCATCTATTTCATCGGCATGGCTTTCGTAGGTGTGCCGGACTTTATTCAGAATTTCCATGTCGATGTTGGTATGTGCAGACCGGCGTCGTCCACCGGCCAGCAGACTCAAACGTCGGATGGACGAAGTAATCGATCGGGCACCGGCGCTTTCTCGACTCAGCTTGCGTGTTCGCATGCGCCTTTCCATCGAATCTCCATCACCGTCATTTACCGAAATATTATTGGTAAATGCAAAATTATGCTTCTGCTCAGGTTCGGTTTCCTGCTTTTTTTCGTACGCTTTGGTCCCTTTGTATTTTTTAATGAGATTGTATAGATCAGCCCAGGCGTAAACGCGCCGTTTAATGTATGAAGCGTTGGCGAAGTAAATTGGTGCGTCCACGCGGACAATTTTAATTCCCAAAACTTCTACTGCCTGGAAAAGTAGTATGGCTTAACTGAAAAAACTCGGATTATAAAATAATTTATTGCATGTCAACACTACCGTCGAGTAAACATCAGTTCGCCTGTAAATGTCCGTGCCAGGAATTCGTCCAATGGGTCCAACTTTGGGTTTTTGCAGCCTTTATGAAACAAAGCATATTACATGTATTAAAAACTCAGTTCACCGATTTCTTATAATCCGTTTTGCCAGCGGTATTTCTTACCTTAACATAACCGTGGCTATCGCGCTAAAACAAGAAAAACGAGATCGAAGGAAAGTGCTATGACCAGTTCTTATACATACACATATTACGGTATTGTAGTACTCTGTACGCGTAGTTCTATGCAAGCATGCTTTATAACAGCTTTTATTATTTAACACTTGCCAACCAATTCCGACGGCAAGTCCAAGATCAACATCCAAAATTATAACTCCCAAAAACACCAGAAGGAAAATAAACTGAAAACGATTACTGATATTAGAGCGGTTTTATCGGATAACCAAAGGTCAACGCCCACATGTACCATGTCAATCCATGAAAGACTCCACAAGGTGATTAGTTCACCAATCTGGAACATCAGCTTCAATACCGATACCATTACAATGGCTCCTAGACAGGCTTTTGGTAATGGTTCCAAAAATTTTCCAAAATAAACAATCACTATAGGACAACAAAACATCCATCTTAATACCCACACAAGGGCGAGACGGTTAAAGGTTATGACTGTAACCTTTGCAATACACAAACAATCAGACCGCTCACACCCATATATGGGTCACATATATAATGGGTGTGATCACTGCCTGATTCAAGTATTTCAGGAAATTAAGAGACATTGTTGGGCTGGTATAATTGCGCATTTACCAGCGAGGACAATGGTGCACTGAACAAGGCTCACAATCTGCGTTTTGCCACCAACATCATTTTGTACAGCAGTTCTGGCGACAGAAGCACTTGAAGGAAAGCATTGAAAAAATGATCCAAATATTTTGGCCACGCCCATCGCTTTGAATTCTTGGTCTGGATCAATGGAATATCCGTGTTTGCTGGCAAACAGGAGTCCCAGGGTAATACTTATTGACAACTGGAAAGAACAGAAAGCTTGGTTGTATTAATTATAAGTACAACATTACTAATTAGACGAAACATTACTAATTAGGAGTAACACTGCGCAAACCAAACGTTTTGTACAATAGAAACAAAAGGTTACATATATGGCTTACGCATTTTGCTTTTAGTATTTTTAGATCACCGAGCTCACCGACACAACAGCTATGGCAAAGGTATCTCCAATCATCTCAGACATTTTAGAAAAATGTGGCAGCTGTGGAGATGGAAAACCTATGGGAATCTTTTTGATGATTTTAACTCCGTAATCTTTTTCCATATTCATTAAATGTGAGGCCAAGGTGCCAAAAATTACGACGAAGAGTTCCGCTGGAATCGGTACCTTAGTATAAATAAGAGTAGCAAATTAAGCACTGCTGGGACCAGAATTAGCCAACTAGCAAGAGTGCTTATTTACCTTAATTACTGACATGATTTTCCTATTGCCGTTAATAAAAAACTTGACCACAATCAGAAAAATGACTGATATAAGGCCCACCACAAATGTGGTAACGTGCGTAGATCGTATCACTTGAAAAAAGTTCGCGTAAATCTGCAATGGACAGAGTTTTTAACGCAACTATAACAATCCGACAGAGATATGTTTTTCTGACATTTATTAATTTAAACGCTCCGTAGTGGTCATGCAAGCCTGTGACGCCAAAAACGGATCCCAACTGGCTTGTGAAGACATGGAAAGCTGCACCGCATGTAAACCTACGCACCCAACATGGATCTCATAGTCAACATTCCACCTGACTGTCAGACTGTTTCTTTTGAGCATACATATTCCAGTATGCGTCATTTTTTTTAAAAATGGACATACCCTTGAACTAACTGATCGGAGAAATATACAACCAGTCCTCCAGCACCAATCAAACCGAATATTAGCTGAAATAAAAATAACAATGTGATTTAATAGGTACATACTGCTGCTTCTAACTTCTATAGAACCGTGTAATCAAAGGTCACTGCAGTCATACGCTGTTACAACCAACAAACAACAAAAACTATGTCATATTTGATAGGCTTATTACTCTTAAATATACAAAAGCTTCGTTTCTCAATTTATTAGACTAAGCATAACAATTAATACACAATGTACTTATGCTACATAACGCAATAAAAAATTTTCTAAGCTAGCTGCACGTAATACCGAATTTCACGTACTTGCCATATACCGCACAAAAACCCTGCTGCTGAGGCTATTTCAATCTGGCTCCATTCCGCAATAGTATACACCGATCCGTTATACGGCAGCTCCTTAAATTCAGGATGCGTGACATTCCCGTTGGCATCTTCCGCGAACAGTGCATGATCATGAACTATTTTGCTGGCCATGACACTGGTTACAGCGTCCGTTCCTAAGTTTTTGAGATAGAACAGGGCATTTATTCTTTTCGTTATTGCAAAGCAAGATTTTTGATAAGACAAGCGTGTGCAAACAAGTACTACCTAGTGAAAGATGGCGTGATGTTGCCATCATAAAATATACAAGGAGCGGGAAAAAGGAAACATATAGTCCAGTAACGGCTAAAACGCAGAAGTCAAATGAAACGCTGGCATTTTAACTTGAGACCAATGAAAGAGGCGACGTAACAATCGCACCATATGTAAAGACGTAAGAACATACTTAACATTAAGATATTAAAACAAAACACAGTTAAGACCAAAATGGTGAACCTCGCTACCGACGTTAATACTGTATGCCTTAAAGTACGGATTTGTTGTTTTATACGCACGCGGAGTCTTTGTAGCCTACAAAAAGGAAATTTAGAAATTATGCTTATACGTCGAAGCTGAATACTTACCATTGCATAGGCAACACCTAAAACGAAATCAAGTTACCATTAATTCAAGCACCTTCCATGGAATTCTGAAGGTTTAATAACAGGGGTTTTGACACATTTTGATAATAGCATGCAACATTTGACAAACAATTGTTGTGACAGCTACGAGATTGCAGTTTTATTTGCAGTTACCGCTTGCAGATTAGCTGCCAAATGTCACCCTAACTGTACGCGCTCCGTCAACACGTTTTTACCTTGGGGAGTATTGAGAAATCCAATAGTAATACCTGTCAATACAAAATAATAAAAATTAGTAACGGCTATGCCTTTTGTATCTATTGCTAGTTCATGAAATTTATAATCTGCTATGTATCTGGTCATCTTTTTCTAATATAAAAGCAAAATATTAATAGTTTTACTACAGCACTGTGATGTCGTACCAGCAATGACATCTGGTAAGAGGCTCGAACGCCATTCGTATTTTGGTAGCCAATCAATCACCGGTATCCAATTCGTCAGAGTCCTATACAAGCTTTTTTTTGTAATTGCATTTCCTTCTACGGTTCGATAAAAAAATTTCCGGCATTGTCGTTTAAAATCCTGCCATGGGGTTAAAGGCGCCGGTTCACATACACCATATACCGTATCGAACCTGGAACAAAACATGCCTCTGTATATCAGATAAAAGTGTTCCGACTGTTCTATGTCCTCAACTAACAAAACTTTCAACCAGCAAAACTTTCCCTATAGTAATAAACTTTTTAAGTGGATTCCGAATAAATAAGAGGGATAAAAACAAAATTTTTACGTTGACAATATAGTCACCCCTTATATACGCCTCTGTGTCGTATAGCTACCCCTTTCCACACCCCGTTTAATATAAGCACTTTTTTCTGATTTAACTGATCTAGTTTTAGACACTCATTTTATAAATAAAAACAATTTCTCGTATCATGTCACGGACCGCATCAAACCATTAGGAGAAATGTTTAACCACCCGCTCAACGATATTAATCTAGTTAAAGATCCGAATGTTATTTGTTGAAGTAGGTTTCCGCTGCGGGAAAACCGCGAATAGCTTTATACATAATTAAGCGGTTTAAGCTACAAATGCAACAAAACTTCACCGCGAGCCCTTCCTAAATTTTTCTGGGAGGCACCGGGCATGTTCAAAGCAAACACCGGAAACTATTGCCAGTCTGCAGTTATTGTACGAAACGGTCGATTAGTGGCGCGAAAAGTCATTGGGAGAAGCCGAAAAATGAATGCGTTTTATACCGTCTTCAAAAAAGTGTTATTATTCTAACAACTTATCTTTGCGATACCCGATGCTCATGGTCAGCATATGACTTGCGTATGTTTGCAAAAATGAAGATAGGACTGAAGCAAATCCCGAAGCTTTAGAGAGGCGAAAAGCATGAGTAAAATTTTATCTTATAATAACCTAATTATAAGTGAATTTTTTTAGCATTATAGAAATGATAACTAATTTATACAATTAAAAATTAGAATGGGTGCACCATGCACCCTAAGCTACAAAGTGACCCCCGGCACTTCCCTAAATCATCATAAATTACGGTAATATGTCGATATGGATAACCTGCAGCATTATTCTGCAAGTCCACAGATTTATGATAAATTGGTTCAAAATATTGCAATTAATGTTCAAAACCTTTGAGTAATAACAAGAACAGATTTTTTTATTTATATATATTAATAT